AATACTCTAGATTACCAAAAGGCTGGGTGTCGCCCTCACTGTACATTTAATAAGATGGGTCTATTCTTGGCATTAATGACTGCTGCAAACCAAGGAAAGATATACAGTATTATCACAAGATAGATGGCATTAGGAGCTCCGCACCATTCCTCATGTACAGTAATTTTTTAACTAGTACAGTGAAAGAAGTACAGTAACTGCTGAACCAAAACTTAATTTTTCAGGGGTCAGTTTTTTTCAAAATTCTGTGAATGTGTATTCAATATTTTGTAGTATGTTTATGATGGGTTTGTGAGTGCATAGGGTACTGTAAATGTTGCTTTGAGCATTCCATAACATACATCGATGCGCTTTCAGCTTTCTGTGATCCACATAGATAAAAAAATCAATAACTCAGAAAATAGTTATTACAGGTGCTCTGGCAGATTGCATCATCATCATCTATAATGATAGTTGAAAATTGAAATGATAGTTTCTTTTTTAAGAAACACAAAGTTTGAAATGATAGTTTATGCTGCAAATCATATGTAAAGACAAAGAAAATATTGTAAAATTTCTAGTGCTTATTGTAAGAAAAAGGTGGTGTTGCTTTTTTCTATTTGGTTGTGTTACACTTTACACTCTAAGGGAACACTGCGCATCTGATATTAATTCTGAGGTCATTTTATTTTGAGTTTTTAAGTTTACGTAAAAACTCTTGTCAAAGTGTAAGCTTTAGATTTGTTTCAAGCAGTTGTACTTTAGTTTTCACACTCCTTAAGAATGTATGATCTGATTACCCTTTTCCATTTGATTCATTTTTACACAAATGTAGAGCTAGGATTAGGACCAAACTCCCAATTAGGATACAGTGAAATGTACTGCTTTCAGTTGTTCTCTAGTTCTGCAAGGTACAGGGTAAACCTTGCTATTACACGTTTGAAAGGTTTAATAAACAATGCAGGTCCTTATCAACATTTTGATCCTTAAAAAACAACATCTGTGTTTAGTGCAGTTGCAAATGACTAGGCGATGTAGCCAAGTTTCTGATCAACAGCAGTTCTCCATCTGTCACCTATAGTAGTCATAACAGCAGGTGTCAGACTAGACTTACAAGGCTTTGTTTCTTTTATTCCTTTATTTATTTATTTATTTTCAAATTCTGCCAAATAGCTGCAAGCATCCACAAATGTATTATAAAACTTATTTGCAGTCTTTGACTTCCAGTGATGATATCAAATATAATTGTACAACTTCAGTGAAAGTGAAATCAAAATCTATCATTAAAATTAGTTATAATTACAAACAGAAGACTCCAATTGCATAGTAAACTCAATAATTCTAGCTATTTTATGGAAAGTTTTATTATTTAATTCTACCTCTAAACCCATACTGTAGCATTCCTGCTATAGCTATGCATGCACACATGTGCCTTTTGATGGACTAGTCTTTAGTCCAGGGTGTAATCCTTCCTTGCACCTTATGCTTCTGGGATGTGATTTGGATTGCCATAATCCTTATCAGAAATAAGCTGCTTATATACACTATAAGCTTATAATATATAACTTACAAGGAACTCCTTTCAGGTTGATGGTGTGTTTTAAGAGCATACAGTTGCTATGAATTATAGGACTGAATAATAATGAGCTATTTCTGCTTCACAACACTGAAGGGGGCACATTTAGTATACTATTTAGTACACTGATATTCATTCCTGGTGGCTGTTTCGCAAAGCAGGTTTAACTGCTTCGGTTTATTTTTTTTACAAATTAGCCAGATATACTGTAATTAACCAGTTTGCAGACTTGTTCTGGTTTCAAAACAGCACACTCTACACTCTACAATTGTCACGTTAAAGTCAGGAATCAACCATCTTGCTAACCTAGCACGCATGCAACATGTCAGAAGGGAAGAGGGTTGAGCATTGAATCTTTCATCCACACTAGCGAAACCATGGCTCACAAAATGTGTCTGATTTCAGCAACCATGAATTAGAGCTCATGGAAAACAATAGGTGGCAAAATATGTTATAATGGTGAAAATACTGCAGCTGCTAAAAAAAGCCAAAGAATTAAGTTAATTATGTAATGCTATGACACATCTTGAGATCTTACAAAACTATTGAAATTGGATGAAACTTAAATTACATTATTATCGCATTGAAGTGAAGCTCCTATTTAATCCCTTGTGTAGTTGTGCAACACAATGAAAAGACCTGGTAGAAGGTCAAGACAAAATAAAATTATTTTATCCATCATAGTATGTGGTTCTTCAATCCAACTTCTGGACAATACACAGTGTAGTGCAACACCCATTGCAAGTCCAGATAACACTCATTGTAAGCTCACACATTTTAATACTTCTTTTGAAGCAAGTGATCGTTTGGCTCTGTGGGGGCTTTAATGGAGTGGTCTGAGCAGTCCAGAGAACATACTATTTTGGGAAATGTTGCAATAAACTGTGGAGTTCATGATGCTTAGATGCAGGGAGCAGAAGCCACATGTGAACAGAATTATATATAGTGTAATAATATTATCTGCTATTTCAAAAAACCTCTGTTTCATTGTATTCAATGTATGCATGAGAAAGAGTTGTGAAATATCATGAATGCATGTTTAAAGTGCTTTAGTGTAAGCATCACTTTCCTTATAGGATGAGCAACTAGCTCTTAACTGTAGTAATTCGATTCACCAACGCAATAACAACAAACTGCACAATTCATCAATACAGTAATAAACTGTAACAGTAACAAGAAATTTCAGCTCAATGTACAGAGTTTTTGAGTTCCTGTTAATGCTGAACCAAGACAAGTAGTATTAACAATGTCTGCTGAAATGGTATCTTTCCAATAAAAAATTATCAGACAACTGTAAAGAGCTTTTGTGATCTCTGAACTTTCTTTCTCTCCAGAAAGCTCTGTCAACTGGACCCCTTAAGAAAGATAATGTTCTTTATTAAAAGACACTGATAAGAGACAAGCTCTTAACCAAAAATTCAGGCTAATATTGAACTAACCTGCATGGTGCAGGGTTAGGAATAGTGGATGTATAGTATCTATACTGTAGTTACATTGGCTATACTGTAGTTACTTAACCTGATACAATCTTGCTTTGTGAAATGGAAAAAAACCTTTCATGAAGATATCTTTTAATGTTTGTGGCACAGTGGCACAGGGATTAATATTGCTACTTTGCTGTGCTGGGTTCCTGCATCTATCAGTATGGAGTTTATACATCTTTCCTGTTTTTGCTGGGTGCTAATGTTTCCTCCCACAGTTCAAAGACTTATTGGTACTGTAGGTTAATTGGCTTCAAGACAAATTGGCCCTGGTTTGAGTGTGTGAATGTCTGTGTGTGCCCTTTGGTGGACTGGCATCCTGTCCAGGGTGTATCCTGCCTTGCGTCTATTGCTTGCCAGGATGAACTCTGTCTCCTGTCAAGAGCAGTTCTTTCCGGGCCCTATGCGGACGACACGATCCAGAAGGTGAAGAAACAATAGGGAAAAACATCATGCAGGAGTCAGTCAGGAGACAGGGGGGCGTGTCCGAAGTGAGCAGGTGTCCAGGTGAAGTGAGTCCGGGGCAAACAATCCAAGAATAAATCCAAAAGGGAAATCCAAAATGGGAGGCAGAGTCCAAGACCAGGGGATCCATCCAAAGTAATTTAAAAACCAGAACCGGGTCAGGACCGGCGGGACAGGGAATCAGGAACAGGAAACTAAAACCATAACGGAGCCAGACGCAGCAGGACCCCGGGCTCTCACGAAACGGGATTCAATGAGAAGCGCCGGGCAAACGCCTGCGTCTGGCTTTAAAGGTGGAACTAAAGAGGGGCTGGAATGAGGAACAGATGTGGGGAATGGGACAGAACGAGGAAGGGCTGGAGTGCCCTTAAGAGGAGGAGTAATGATCGTGACATCTCCCCCGTGACCCCATATTGGATAGAGTAGTTAGAAAATGCATGGATGGATTTACTAAAGTTAACTGCCTGAGAATTCTTGTTTTGTGAAAAATCCACCTGGTCTTGGTGGGCTAAAGTTTCTTATTTATTCTAAATTCTTCATGACCACTGGTTCCAGATTTTTACTCTTTGAAAAAGATGTTATCAATCAAACCTGATTGATTGTGTTCCCTTTGTATAATAAGCTGCTTATATACACTATAAGCTTATAATATATAACTTACAAGGAACTCCTTTCAGGTTGATGGTGTGTTTTAAGAGCATACAGTTGCTATGAATTATAGGACTGAATAATAATGAGCTATTTCTGCTTCACAACACTGAAGGGGGCACATTTAGTATACTATTTAGTACACTGATATTCATTCCTGGTGGCTGTTTCGCAAAGCAGGTTTAACTGCTTCGGTTTATTTTTTTACAAATTAGCCAGATATACTGTAATTAACCAGTTTGCAGACTTGTTCTGGTTTCAAAACAGCACACTCTACACTCTGGTTTCAATTGTCTCGTTAAAGTCAGGAATCAACCATCTTGCTAACCTAGCACTCTAAACTGTTCATGTAGATAAATTCTTCAGTCTTGTGAACTTGCAAAAACGAATTAGTATTAATTCCTATAACATACAGTACAATATACAGTATACTGTATATACTGTATATATACTGCATACGTGTACTGGTTTTCAAACAGTAGGACAAAATAAAGAAATATACATTATCCAGCATATATGAAATATACTGTATGTGCTTAACGTTTGTGATACTGTGTGTGTATGAGTGTGGATGTGTTAGTGTTTTCAGAGAATTTTTGTGGTACTGAAAAAATAATTGTTCACACCTGCTGTCTTAGATTAATTCATTCATTAGAAATGCTAGCTAAAGTACCATTTCCTCTAGCATTATATTTAGAAGGGAAATTAGTATGCATTAATTAATAAAAGTTACAAAGAATTCAAATACTTTTTCTTGTTCATTAAGAGGAAATATTACTTTTTTATTGATATTTCTCCCACAATGCAGAAAAAAAAACATTCTAATGCTTTCTCTTTCTTTCCTCAACCAGGCTTAAGATGATTATTGGAATGCACTGACTGGAAACATTAACCATGAGTGAAAAGAAGATTTCATTTCAAAGTGGTATGTAGTGTAAGCTTTCTTAATCCTGTCATACAATAGGCACTGTATTGGATGGTCTCAATATGAGGCATGATTTATTGCAATCATTTCAGTGTTACTAGTTTTTTAATCTTTTTTAGTCTTGGAATTTCTTCTTTTAGAAGAGGCTCTTTGACCCTTCTCTCCAGAAGAGTAAAAATGCACATTAATGGGCAACTTTTTTTCTCTTTAAAATGTTGAGGGATCTTGCACTGCAGTACTCTGTAAAATCAATCATGAAGAGGGTTAATTAAATATTAATAACTTGGTTGCCATTGAAGATGTAAATCAAGTTAACCAATGAAACTATACACACACACAGACAGTTTACTATTTTGAAGTAGCCTTTGAGAAAACAGTTGGCAAGCATTTATTGGTACTGCTTTATAGACTATATACTGTACTGTGGCTGTGTTGCTTCACAGGATCCTGTTGAATTATTTTTTTCCTGCATCTGAGTCAGTGTAATACAGAAGTGCTCTTGACATAAAGTAATTTGCTTTTTTGTCCTTTATAATGTACTGGATTTAAAGCACCAACAATTTATTTTACCTGACAGTACGTCATAGTGTGATTGTTTTCCTGCCTGGACCAAGCATATCAACTAGCAATGTTCCTACAGTATGTGTTTCTGCTGTAAGATGCCCACAGTGCCATGAATGTCATGATGTTTGGAGGGAAAAATAAATATTCATAATATAAGTCTTAAGATGAATCTACATGTGCTCATGCAGCATTTTTATGCAGGTGGAAATCTATAACTAGTTTAGTGTCAAAAGAATATCTTGTTCCATTGCCTAATGTGCCATAACATAAGCTCTTCAATATCTTTGTCATTATATTGTTTGTTGTTAACACTATAGTGCATGCACTATAAACATGCAATGAAAAACATTCAGTGCATAACAGATTATTTCGCTTGTTTGGTCTAATTCTAATACTGACATAACAAGTTGACAAATATAAAGGGACAGCATGCTTAATCCTTTGGCTTCAATTCACCAGGTGGAGGAAATGACCGTGTTAGTCTGAGACCAGAAATAAGCCAGGGAGCTTAATGCTGCATTGGTAATGTTGGGTTGGAGGGAAAGGTACTAGAAAATGCACAAAGCATATTCTGTTCAGTCAGGGAGCTTTTATGAGTAAGGAAATGGAAGTATACGAGTAGAATTTGACCTCCATCTGTTCTGCTGTTCAATAACACTATATTGTGCCTTTTAATGAAGAAAAATATTTTAAATTCCATTATTTTACTGTCTTGTAGTTAATTCGACATGATACTTGGTGAAATTGTGTTTTAGACCATACTGTATCTCATTTTGTGATGTCTTTATAAAAGGACTGCTGGTGTCACAGAGATCTTTGCACTTCTACACCTTAACAACATATTTTACATTGGCCATCATTAAAATGGTTCTTGAACTTCCAATACTTATTCTGTAAAAAAAGATTGTTCAATAAAAGGAACAATTTGTTTTTTATTATTGTTATTTCTCCCAGGGTGCAGAAAAGACATTCTAATGCAATAATTCTAATGAAATCAAAGAGACATGGTTTGACACTTAATTATTTTACCTGGCACATGACCTCATCAACCTTAGTCACATAGTCAACCTTAGGATTTCAAATAGTGAAACTTGTGGCATTTGCCTTCCGGGGGTAGTGATCTTTTAGGACATAATATTGGAACAGTGCAGTGAAAAATTTGAAATATATACAGTATATTGCATTATATATATAGTAAATTTATGAGTTTTTATGCTCCAGTTACTGTACATGCTACAGGAGTGTAGAAAATATGCAGAAAATAGACTTGAAAGCATAAAAAAGCAGGACAGGATGGAGAACCTCATGCTTTACTGCTCTGCTGATGTGTTTCTTACACTGCCATTATAGATTGCAGTGCTGACTACAATGGGTTTGTAACAGAACCAACAGTTGGATGTCAGATGATATAAATGACAAAGACAAACTACCTGGTATGTCCATTTACACAGTCTGTGAAGTCACTGTATGCACATTACACAGTTTCTAACTGTGGAGAGAGATTGGAGTGGAGAGATTTTCCTGTTCAGAAATGCCTCCATTTCTATCCAGAAAACTATACATTCATTCAGTGACTTTTGGCAGATGAGGATCCAAGACCTGTGAAAGTGATTATATTTTTTTGTGATGTTGAATCATGTCTGACAGAGTACTCAAATGATTTTCAGCTACTTACATAATATTTATGTGTCCGTGTTTCATGAATGATCCATGGATTCCTTTGGGCATGAAGCAATTTCAGTAGTCTACACTCTAAGTTGTTATTTGTTGTTTCCATAGTGAAAACCAAGTCATGAAACAATCTACATTAAAAACATTAAGAAGTGTTTGAAATATCTGAGCAAAATAACCAGGTGATCAGAAGGGTGAAATTTGGGTTCTGTATTATTTTTGCAAAACGTATTATAGCGACTCCTCATAGTCATTTTCCTAAAGTGCAATATTTCATGTTCCTTTCGAGCAATGAGGGCTCACTCTGGAATGTGCAAGATCTGTTTGTTTCTGGGGACATGAGAAAAGGACAGTACTTTCAATAACATGAAAAGCAATTAGCATTTTCCAAATCCAATTATCCATCCATTTTCAGTAACAGCTTTATCCTCAGAGGGTCACAGTGATTTGAAGTCTAACTCTGCAAGTGCAGGGAGCAAGCCTACAATCTAGATGGCACGCTAGTCCATCATAGGACACTCTCACATATTCACTCATACAGTACAATGGCAATTTTGAGATGTACTGTAAATTAATTTGTCTGTGGGCTGTGGGGAAAAAAAAAAACAACACTAAAACTACCCCAGTTCAAAATCAAGCCCAGGCTCCTGACTTCCTGCAGCTGTAAGAAAGCGGTGTTGACCTTCACACCACTCTGCCACCTCAAATTCAAACATTAGTTACTAAAATATTTACTGAATCAGGCCCAAGAAAACAGTTTATCCCTAATATATCTTCTAATTCAAAATATTTGCTAAAATCTCCTTGAAGCTACAGTACTTGAAATCATGCAAAAACATGTTTTTTTTCTTTCCTTCCCGCAAAGACATCCCACACACAGCAGCAACTAATCCTTCTTTCTGTCAGCCTTTCACATTCCACTAGAGGGGTGCATTACAGTGCTTTCATTTGCTGTTCTACAGAGAATATCCAGTACGCACTGTTCAATACCCAGATTCTGTGCATTCTATCATTTTTAAGTTATCAATAATCACCCTTACCTTTATTAATCTCCAGCAGTAGCCTTTCAAGGGCATGCATCGGGTTATTTCTTAGGTTTTTAATCCCTTTATGTTACTTAAGGTTTTGTTTCATACTGTGTGCCATATCTCTGAAGCTCAGCATTGTGCTCTTCACTTCAATTTTATCACAAACAGATACAGCTTTGCATTTTGATACCCTGCACAGTTATGATAAAGCATGTATACAAAGGGCATGAGACAATACTAGGACAAGTGAAGGAAATTAATCAGTTTCATGTTTATAGCCTTTCCACATTTAAGTAAGCAAAAAATACAATTCTTCCAGTTTTCCAAAGCATTTCTTCTTCATGTAATTAATATCAGCGGCACACATGGATGTCTGCTTCTGGCATAAAGTAGATTCATAAAGTTGACCTTCTATTAAACAAACATGCTCATTTACGCTCAATGTGATACTAGCCACTTTGTCAAGCTTTTACTATAGTGGAGCTACTGTATGTACATATAACAGCATATAAGGCCGACACTGGTTTTGTCAATATTCTTATTACTTCTCTCCTTACCAAAATGAAAATGCAAAAAGAGGTGACACATACTGTACACATCCATGTCCAATTGAGAAGAAATATTTAGCTATATATCTATATCTATAGATATATATCTACAGCAATTTGTTATATTTTTAAAATTCAAAATATCTTTATTTATGTGTAAACATATCTTACCTTTAGGGTATGTGGATATATTTTACTATACTTGTTTCTAAAAGGATTTCTCCATGAATCTGTTTGAGTTTGCATTCACCTTCAGATACAAAGTTGTCTGACTGGAATATTCATGTTGTAGCATATGAATATAGCAAACTATCTAGTAATTGAATAATAACATTTAGTAAGGAAATGGTTTATTTTAGTCATGCTCTGCTGGATTAGTCTCATAGCACACATGATTTCCTTGCTGGTAGATGAGTCAGAAAGGCCAACACTTAAGTGCATGGGATTCTCACAGGAAAAAAAAAAAGAGTTTTCTGTAACATTAGAGCTATTAGTGCAAAGTTCATATCTGCAGTTTTTATTTCACTGTTGCCTTTCCACAAAGAACAAGTGAGGAAAGTATAAAAAGGCATTCTTAATTAGTAAAAAGAGGTGCTTTTAATATAGAAGCAAATATGTTAATTTGTGTTCATAAGGGCTTTAAAAGTTGGAATCGATAAAATGAAAAATTAAGCAGGTGAATACTGGTGACAGATACAGAATTCTCAAAAAGGCAATTTGTTCAGTGTTGTCTGTTGGTTTTAATAATGTTGGAGTATCTAACATATACTGTACTGTATGTGTAAGTAAGTTAATGAATACTGTTGTGTGATTAAAAAAGCATTAATTTCTTAAACACAAATCAACCATACTATTTCAGTACCTTGTCAACCACTTTCTGAAATTTTAATTAGAGAGAAAAAAAGACAGACACCCAGTGAAGTAACAAAAAGACAAGAGAAGCATTTGCGTTACAAATTAGGAGCTGCTGGCAGCAAATATGAGCATCTTAACCTTCTCTTTTTACATACTGTATGGATTTATGGGTGGCAATTTTTTATTTCTCCAAAAGCACCCCTAATTTTGTATTTTGTATTGTTTATCCAATAGAAATTGCACACAATCCTGAATTCAATTTGAATGTAACTTTCTATTAAAATGATAACATTTCTGAAGGATGCCATTTTCTCCAGGTGCAATATTCAAAATC